TTGTGTCACATTTTACATCTCTGACTCCTCTGGCCTCACACTGCTGCCTCACACTGCTGCCTCACACTGCTCCGCTTTACCTGTTGCTCCTCTGCACAGCCTAGACCAACATGGTCCAAAGGTAATGAGAACCAGATATGGAATTCAAATTTTTCTTCTAGCCACATTAAAAAGTAAAAAGAAATGATGGGAACTAATCTTATATTTTATTTAACCCAATCTACCCAGAATATAATTTGACAAGCAATCAATACAAAAAGCATTGATGAGATATTTTATACTTTTTTAAACTAAGTCTTCAAAATTCACACTTGTTATAATTTTACACAGCATACATTTCAAGTGTTCAAGAGTCATATGTGGTTCGTGGCAATTGTATGTATGTTCCAGTGTGGGTTGGTACTGTATGGGCAGGTTAGGGCTGTGTGGATAGTGAGGGTTAGTACTAAATACATGTAGAGTATAGTGCAGAATTAGAGCTCAGTCCTGTGAGGTCTCAAATTGCTCAAAATTGCTCAAATTTCTCAACGCAGCCTTCTGGATATAGTTGTATTACTTGGGAGCCTCAGTAAAAGAATGATAGAAGCTCCAATTGAAGATCCCACATGTAATAATGTTACTCAGCTTTACTTCCATCTGTGTGGCAGTGATGTAATTGGTCGGAAGAAACCACTGGAGTCCCCAGTCTGAGGCATAACTGAGCTGCCTAATTCTTCCTTCCCAAATAAAAAAGAGACATTAACCCACAGCCACGAGGCTCATGCCCATGGTCCTCAACCACTTAGCTCTCAGACATGCCAGTGGAGACTTCTGAATAAAGAAGAGAAAGGCCTTGGACCCACCATCCATCTGCATAGTCATTTAACACCAAGGTGGTAAAAAGAAGTCACAGGGAAGGATTTTGAAGAGAAAGTAAATATTCCTCAGGACTTGTACCCAGAGTAAATCCTAGAGCTAAGCAATCAAACAGACTGGATTTTGGAGGTTTTCCTCTTGACCCAAGAACAATTACGGTGTGACCAGGCAAATCACTCCACCCACAGTGCCCAATAGGAGCTTGCTCTGTGTTGGGATGGGCCCCATCCAAGCAGCGAGCGACCTGCATGTGAGTGGATGTCTCTAACCAAGTGAAGACCAATGAAGAAAGTGGTCTTGTCACCTGTTCTCTCACATGACCTGTGCTTTATCTTGACCTTTTCTTGGGGAGACAAGGCCCACTGCTGGAGCAACTGTGTGTGGCCAAGCTGCCATAGCCATCTCCTGGTGGTCTGCAGCCCCTGGTCCTTGCTTGGCTCTGCTCAGGCTGGCAGACTGCCTCTCCCTTCTCCTGCTCAGCTGAGCAATCGCAGTGCCCCATGGTGCAGCTGCGGGCAATACCGCACCCCACCCTCCTGCTTTTTGTGGTCTCCTCCTTTGTGACTGCTACAGCATATGTTTTATTAAAAGGGAAAGAGGCGAGGAGACAAGAGGTTATATACATGGGAACGCTCAAGAATCTTAAGATTGAAAATCTCCTGCTCAATGCTAAATGCCTAAGGGTTTTGGCATTTTGCTGAATTCAAGTAAACCCCAATAGGGATGTTTGCGTGGGGAAATAGAAGTTGGAGGAAAATCAGGGTTTTCTTAGGAGATTCTGATTCTAAAGGATATGACAGATTGTTTTCATCTTCTCTTGAAATTTGCTTGCTTACCCCCAATATCTTCTTCCAAATCTTTTTATATGCTGTTGATAAGCTCCCTTTAAATGCTGGTGACCTTGAACACCATTTTCCCCATTATGTATGAATTAGACTTGAGGCTAGGTGGAAGGGCAGGTAATTTTCAATGCCTAATGAGATGTCCAATGTTTCACAGGCCTCTGCCTAGTTTGAGAGCAGTTTCCTCTAGGCCAATAAATGCTTCAAATAATTAAACCAGGTGTCTTATATTGCCAGGATCTAACTGGAAAAGTGTCCCAAGTAAACCCCAAGGAATCACAAAAGTCTTGGCCTTCCAGGTCTTGTCTACTTGTTTTGCAGCTAGCTTCTCTGTCAGCTGGAATCCTTTCCCCAACTCTCCCTGTCCAAACAAATTCCACTCCATCCCTCATGGCACATTCTCCCTCCTTGGAAGACTGATAGCTCTCATTATCCATGCAAATCAATCGTAGATTAATTAGGTCAGCCTTGAGCGTCTTGTGTATTTAGAATGCATGTTGTGATTTACCTTTCCCCAAGGGTAAGCCTGTCTTCCTAACTAGACTGGAAGATCATTGAGGGCAAAGGCAAGGTCTTATAGGACTTATATTCCCCAGAGTTCTGAGGTCAATTTCAGAGGAGGTACACTAATCATTGCAAAACAGATGAGTCAAATCACAGTTGCTAAGAGGAAGCCATTCCTTAGGACAAAATGGGTAGAGTCTGGGGTTGGGTAGGAAGATGAGGCCCTCCATGACTACTCTTAATTGCAGAGTAAACCAGAGGAATGCAGTTCATCTTTCTGAGGTTCTCTGCCTTCCCTTTTCCAAGAAGGAGGCTAAAATCATTTTAACTCTACTTCTTCGGGTAATCAAAGATAAATGAGACAATAAGCCATGTGAGGATTAATTAGGTGAGCTCCCTAAAATGCTCCCAGCCCTTTGGAAAAGAATGCCTTTATAAAATGTATAGAAGGTCTTATTATTTAAAAGAAAGAGTTGAATCACCAAAAATACACTACGCAGTGGGGGAAAACAAACTCTTAACCAGGAAACCTCCATACTAAGCATCCCAGTCAGCAGAAAGTGCCCACGCAGATAGATGCCTCAAGTCCCTCCAGATTACCTCTTGTTTGTGAGCTGGGGAGAGATTTTGGAGCATCATCTCAGAGGGGATCTTTTTTATGCTATGTGATGCTCCCTAGTGATTAGCCCGTGCCTTGGGAAAAGGGATCAGAAGGAGTTGATGACGCAGTCATGTTCTTTGCCCTCTGGCCTTGTTCAGTAAACAACCTGTTAGGAGGCCAGCAAGGAACACCCACAGGATGGTCTTCAGGGCCAAAAAAGGAGAAGGTGCCATCCTGAGACTGGCCCAGGGCTAGCAGAGGAGGCATCTGCCTCCCTCCCCAACCCTTCCCTCTTCTCCTTTCTTGTACCCACACTGCAACACACATATTTCCATTCTGGGAGACAAAGCCAGCCTCATTTTTGGTGAGGAAGGGGAAGCAAGAGTCAAGGATGCCTCTGTCTTCTGCATGGCTGCTACCCAGCTGTCAGACCCTCGGGGCCAGTTGCCCTCCAGCAGGAAGACCACAGCCTGACACTTGCTTCCCTTTTCTCAAATATTTCATGTATCCATGTTCTGTACCTACTCAGATCATATCCTTCCTCTTAGAAGCTGAACATGCATCATTCTCGAAAGGAGGCGGCAGTTGTGATATTGATAAGCTCTCAGGATCATCATGGCAGTGTTGCTTGGTCATGCCCTAAGTGCTTCAAGACAACTTATTCTAGGAGAGAGCAAACTCCAGAGGGTTCTGTCTTAACCAAATAACATGCATACAACTACGCGAAGTCAAGAGGGAAAACACACAAACTCCAGCATCACTTTGCTAAGGCCTGATGTCATCAGACTGCCCCCCAGGGGATTTTGTAAAATACTTTAGCTGCTTGGTTAATACTGGCACAGTCTGTGTTCTACAGAGCATGGTCAGCGTGAGTATCCCTTCAACATGCACGGGTCTGGTGAAGAACAGAGGCATAAATCCTCGACTTGCAATATACCTTTTATCTTCCTGATTGGCCTATGCTGACATATCATTGTCCCTGCTAGATAAGGCCATCAGCATGATCTGTTACGATTGCTCTCCTTTTAGCAAAACATTTGTTCCTGCTCAGAGTACCCAGCTCCCAGGACTAGCAAGAGCACACATACAGTTCTTTACAGAGGGGTCTGTTCAATCACGTTACAGTGCATTAGCTTGATTATTAGTTAATATTTGGCTTAGGTCTATATACCTTGGATAAATATGCACCACACAGAGGGACTTCTTTTTGAAGAGAAACAACTCTGGGCTGGAATAGCAGCTCCCAAGTTCAAGCACCTACCAAAAAGGAATACTCCAAGCATCTGGGGCCTGGGCAGAGAGCTACACATGCATGGTTCTTCCATCAGCAGCCTGCTTCCTGCATACAGCTGTGAGCATGCATACACACACACACACACACACACACACACACACACACACACACACACACCATTGGCAGCATTTCACTGTGTACCCGAATGATTACAGAAACAGAGAGATAGATCACTAGATAATCTCAGCATGCCCCTCCTTCCAGCATAGCAATGTTTTCCCTTAGGGTCTCCAGTGTGCTGCCAGGTTGAACTCAATCAATGAGGCTTCTGCCATCACCCTGGGGAGACTATTTGCAACCTACAGGGTTCACTCTTCAGAATTTTTTTTTCTTGGCTGCTTATGCATGGGAGAAAGACACAGGCTTGTCTCTTTCTGAGTGTAGGGGCTCTACAGACATGCCACAGAACCCCATGAATATGAGAATATAGGTCTATGAACATATGAATATAGACTGTCATGTAGCACAACCCCAGCAAATGGGGGTCCTTCCCAAACATAGTGAACCGCATACAATTCAGCCCAGGATCGGCTCAGCATGCAAAAGTCCTCGTCATCTTCTGCAATTAGGCAGCCCGATTCAATTTTCTGAAGCTAATGGGAGTTGCACTAACTTTGAGGACTTAAACCAGGCAAAAGCAATATAGGTCAGGAAGAGTGCCTGCGCCTTATGACAGCCATGCAACACCAGGAGGCAACAGCAGGGCCAGCTCTAGCTAAACCCCAAAGTCCACTGCTCAGCTCCACAAGACAGAAACTAAGAGGTGGGATCGTTTCCCTCTGCAACTGACAGGTGCCAGGGCACCGAGGGTTTTAGGAGGGCAAAATGATCCTCTCTTCCGGGGACTCACCAAAAGGACAATAAAATAGGAATAGAGAAAAACCACCCCAACCAGCACTGTTACCTTGAATCCTTGCAAGAGCCCTCCTTGTTGTATCAGCTGCTCCCCAAACCTCCACTGACTGGGAGGAGACTCCTCAAAGAATCCAGGTTTTTGTGCAACATCTCCAGTGGCAGCTTTCCAAAGTTTTTATTTCATGATTTCTTGAAGCTCTTTCTCATTTGGGGAAACGCGAATGACTCCCCCTCAGCGTGTGAAAAGGAGCGGATGTCTTTTCAAATTCTGCTCCCCTCTCTGGTGTTGCTGGCGCCGCCACCCAACGCCGCCGCGCCGCGGTTAGAGCACTTGCCTGCCGCTTGCCCGCTGAGAGGCAAGGATCCTGGTCACCCAAAGCATGTTTGAAGTGGGATTTCGGTGCTGGGCAGAGGCACACGCGGTTGGGAGAGGGAAAGAAAAGTGCAGAGCCTTGAGTGCCCTAGCCCTCCGCTGAACATACACCCAAGATCTTGCTTTGCTGCCAACTCTACAGACTCACCCGCCTGCTCTCTCTCCTTTGCACATGGGCTAAGACAGTTCCTCCGGCTTCCCTGCTCCCTAGGCTGCCTGCAGACCTGCCCCAGCGCCGGCACCGCACGGCAGGTGCATATCCCTGGGCAAGTGCTAGAGGGGTCCTCCGAGCTCAGCGGAGGTGCGGTGCTCGCAGCTGCCTGCAGCTTCCAAGGCAGGCAGATTCCATCCCAGCGCTGCAGTCCTGCGCGTCCCTGCTCTGACTCCGGGTTCCGTACCTAAGCAGTGTCACCTGCAGACTCAGACACCAGATGAGTGTCTTAAGATAACAATGCTGCCCTGCCAGCCTCTCTTTCTTTCTTATGCACGTAGGTAGGCAGCCAATGGGACCCAGCGCCACACTCCCCGCAGGCGCCCATTGGCTGGGCGGCTTGGCAGGGGGCGGGTCGGAGCATCAGCGGCTGTCTCCTTTGGCTTGCTGGAGGCTGGGGCACCCGCTCGGTTAACCCTCCCAGCTTTGCAGCAGGGACTTTTTGATGTGGGTAAGGAAGCCTTGGATGCATTCATAGCTGGGCAGTTGGAGAGTGAAAGGAGATTGAGGAACAAGAAGGATGGGAACTAATTACATTTTCTTCTAATTTTCCTGAGTTGCAATAATCGTTTGTCCCAGACCATTTTGTTTCCTTAACTAGAATTGCCAGAGATAGAAACCCATTTGAGCCATTTTCCTTCTACGTTGAGGTTTTAATCTGTTGTTTCCTGCATTTTAGCCTCTTGGTCTTAAGTTACTTAATTAGAAACGTGTGTCAAAGTGAGAAATGGTGAGAGAGAGAGAGAGAGAGAGAGAGAGAGAGAGAGAGAGAGAGAGAGAGAGAGAGAGGAGAGAGTTGGAAATACGTGAGAAGAGTAGAGAAAGAAACAGATTTAGAGACTCCGAGCAACTAAATCAAACATTCTGTCCCCACACCAGGGTTGTGAAGATAAGAGCACAGTGAACTTCAGGTTCGGGTTTCTGGGGATTAGTTGTTGGTGGTGGTGGTGTGTGTGTGGGGGGGGGGGGGAGGCGGGTTCTGCTTCCAAAACAGGGAATTGTTTGCCTGTGGCGTTTTCCCTCTGTGTGTTCCCTTTGACTTCAGCATGTGTGAGGAAGAGGGACTGTAGCTCTCCATTCGGTTTTTAAAGAAAGACTGGAGGAATCAGAACAGGACCAGCTTTGTTTCTGTGAAGCAGGTGCTGTTGCTGAGCCTGTGAATTGAAAGGGGGGGGGGTAAGAGAGAGAAAAATTAACTTGAATCAAAGAGTGTGAGATGTATTCTTGATGACCTAAGGAGGATGCAAAATTATGTCCAGCTAACTAGCATATTACACTAAGTTTTGCAAGAGTATGAGAAAGTAATAGTTAAAGAAAAAATAAATTCACTAGAAGAACTGGAAGTTGGAGTCAGCAAAGGAATTTGAGGGGTTCACACTAATTTTTGTTGTGGGAAATATATGGAGAGGAGAATCCAGTCAGAGAGAGAAGCATTTTGATTTAGTTTCCTTGAATGGAAAGCAACTTCAAAATTTATTTTATAAAGAACTAGAGAAAATGCAGAGTTGTAATGAATGCTAAAGTAATATAAATCAAGATTAGCTGAGAAGCATCAGGAAGCCAGATGTTCTAAATATTTTGAATAAGTTGGAGGAAATTAGCGATATTTCTCACACACATACCCATCAATCCATCACTTGACTTTACCAATCCATTTCTTTTACCTCTATTCCCTCCTCTGGATCTTGTGCAGTTTTGACCTTCCTTCTTCATACTGTAGGTGCCTGTTTGTCTAAGCTACAAAGCACATCTGAGAACATGATCTCAGAGAGTCCTCAATTGTCCTTGGATAGGATAAACTATCCAAGTGAACTAGTGAAAAATCTAAATCTGTTGCTGTCCAACTGCTGATTTACTTACTTCTGTGCTTACTAGAGACATAAGCTCCCAGACCTTGTCCTAGGTGGTAAGACACTAGATGATAGCATCCCTATAAAATAGTAAAGGGGAATGAGTAAGTGAAATGAGTGGTTACCAGTTTTATGGAAAGAAGGTTAAATTTTCAAAGATTTCTAAGGCAGAAGAAAAGGGAATAGAATTGGGAGACAAGAAACATCTAAAAGATTAAAAACTTGACTGTTTTCTTCTATATAGCCCTAAACTATGTAAAAAAAAAAGATGAAGTATAATATATACAAAAAATTCCACAAGTGTACAGTTTGATGAATTTTTACTTATATGTCCACCCATGTGACCTCTGCCCATGATTTCCAGTGCCCAGAAAGCTTGCCCTGCCCTTTATAGTCTAAATCCCCCTCCTTTCAGAGGTAACTATTCTTTTGACTCTTGCCACCAACAAACAATGTTACCTATTCTTGAATTTCATAAATATAGATTTAGGAGCATATACACTCTGGTGTCTGGTTTCTTTCATTTATCATTATGTCTGGGAGATTAATTCTTGAAGCTGCATACTTTTACTGCCGTGTAGTATTCCATTGTGTGACTTAATGACATTTATTCATTTCATTGATACATATTTGGATTATTTCCATTTCTTATCTATTATAAGTAAACCCATTATGAATGTTCTTGTTAGATGTCTTTTGGTGGACATATGCCATCATTTATACTGAGAATACACCAAGGAGTACAAATCACTTAATTTGATTTGGGCTACTGCATGGAAGAAAACCTCATGAAGAAGATTCTGAAGTCTACTTTCTTTCTGAAAGAATTAAATAAAGAGACAAAAGCAAATTTATCACTATTGAGCAAAACTAAATACCTAAAAATGTGTCTACTGCATCAGATATATAGTCTCTCATTTTCTCCTAGCAAAGGCTCTAAAAAGTATTATTGTTTCTGTTTTGCTAATGAGAATATTGACTATAAGACACTGTTAGGAAATGGCCCTAGACCTCAAGGTGTTGTAGAGGTACTAGAGACAAATATTATACTGCTAGTCCTGCAGAACTAGTGCGCTTATGGTGACCAATGCAAGGAATGTTACTTTGGGCTGGTCAACCGCGGGTGTAACTTGGAAACCACGCTGGGCACCAAACTGTTGTAGAGCAACCCCGATACAAAACGGGGTGCCTGACTGTGGGTCCTCACCCGCGCGCTTAAAAGGACTTATCAATGCTCTACTGCAGGCACACGTGAAAGGTTAATAAAAGGTTTATTTACAAGGGAAGGGGAAATGAGGAAATGTACAGCTCTGGGAGAAAAGTGGGAGACAAAGTTTTAAATGAGTCCTACCCGATCCGCCGATCAGGAATCCCAAAATGGCGCTCTCAGAGTTGGCCGCCAGCCAGGAGCGGTGAAGCCAGGAGGGGAGCGATCGCGAGCCAGAGAGCGAGCAAGGCCCACGTGTTTGGTTTTTATATCCAACCTGGCTGCCCAACTCCACCCTCAGGTCCCAGCCACCCTCCCCTTGGTGGTGATGGGATTTGTCTTTCCCAATGTCCTGATGGCTTTAGTCTGGAGTGGGGGTGGAGTCCACAAAGCCTGTATGAGATTATCTCAGGACATCCTTTCCCCCTAACAAAGGTAGGATGTATGTGTTTCTGTAAGTACTTTATGCTAGTAGCTATGAGAAAAGGAAGTGATAGAAGGTTTCACAGTATAGCCAGGCTAGAGATTGGTCTGCAGAGATGGGGTGACTTGGGATAACAGTAGTTAATTTGGGGAGGACAGAATGGCAAAGGAGGCGTGAAAAGGGAAAATGGGCTTTAATTTGATTGAGATGGACCCATGTGTTGTCATAGAATGGGAGGTGATAGTGTAGTAAGCATTAGATCTAAGAGAATAAATATTATGAGATTTGGAAGAGTTTCTAAAATTTCAAACCATACTTAAACTTTATCCTGTAAGAAAGTGAAAACTTTAAAATGGCATGATAAATACAAGATTTTGTGAAGATCAGTAATGTTTGTATAAAAAAAAATAGTTTAATAGCCAGAAGAGTTATTGTGTTATATGAGTCAAGGAACAAGGCCACTGTACTTGAATTCACATTTAAGAAGTTGGACCTCACGAGAAGTCAGGCTTAGAGATAACCAGAAGCTGCTATTTTACAGTCTTAGTGGCTGGCATAAGCTCCACTAGGCAGAGATCACTTGCCCCACTTTATTGATGGAGGAACTGAAAATAGGAAGGTTCCAGTTTACCTCCAAATAAACAAATAATGGAGTTGGTCTTGAATGTTGCTTTAGGAAATCACGTTGTCTCTACACAAAGTAATGATTGAGATGCAGACAAATTTATCCCAGGCTGCATTTAAATGTAAAACATCATGCCCTTGGGCCTCCCTGGTGGTGCAAGAGGTTAAGACAGCAACCTGTGAAGCTATCCACAGCCACTGCAGCATGTTGGATACCTGGCCAGGGAGCGACCCATATGGCACAGCAGTCCTTTCCTTTCTTGCCTGCTGCTCCCCTCAGCAGTATATTTCAGTTGATCTGCATATTCTGTTCCCCACTCTGTCTCTGGTGAATCCTCTCCCCCTCCCACACCTCTGACCTGTACCCCACCCAGCTCTTGTATGCAAAAATAAATCTTTTTTTTTTTTTTAAAAAAAACACCATGCCCTAAAGATAATCTGTTTTCTGTGGACTTTAACCTTTACCCCCATCACTAGCTATTTGTTTCCCTAAGAGGAGGTCATTTTTTCATTGTATTCATGTTTACAGGAAGCCACTGCTTTGGCAAAAACTCTTTATTTCTACATTTTTGTTGCTCTGCTCTTCCATAGAGAAGTCTATAAAGGCTTGCAACATCAATTTCCACATATTTTGAACTCAATATATATTTTTAACTGGCCATTTAATCCATGCACTTTTTCTTTTAGATGTGAATACAAAGAATAAAGCATATAAAGGTGAGAATGGCTAGGAAAAGACTACATATTTTCTGATTCATCAGAAAATCAAGCCCAAATGTTTCACTTGGGATTCCTAACATGTCTCAAGTCTTTCCAGAAAATTAGAAAGACATATTTCAGAGTGATAGATTCTTTGTTACTCAAATCAGGAATTGTAATTTTGTTTAATAATCTCTCCAGGTCTCACTTAATGGCCAGGGTATGGTTTCCTCAAGGAATCACAGCATTCAGTAATTCATTCATTAATGTTTACAGAATGAATTACTGTAATCTGTAAAGTCTAGTGATTATTCATGGCCACACCTAGATGCACCATGTCTGAGGAGTGGAAAAGGCACTCAGCAAAGAAATCTTGTTTGTGGTCTTAACTCCAACTCTTAGCAAATTGATCTTGGGTAGATCATCTCACTATTTCTCTGGCCTCAATTTCCTCATCGATTAAATGAGAGCTTGGGCTAATCTATGCTTTGGTAGTTTCATGTAGTTTTACATTTCTGGTGTCCACTCTGATTATTTAGTGGCAAACCTTGCAAAACTAAGTTTAATTCTTGCTCTTTTTTTTTTTTTTTTTTTTTTTTTTTTTATGCTAGGGAGGGTAGGAAAAAAGGTATCATGGAGACTTCAGCTACTTCAGTACCTCCCAGGGAAGCAATGAAGATGAGGACAGGTTTTTGAAAGGTCATTAGCTGATAAACTTTATCTGTAGTAATTTGCAATGGTGCATGATTTTATACTTCTGGTGTAATTCTCACATAATTCAAATTCAAAGGGCTTTAACATGTGATAAGTTATTTTTGGTCTTTTTTTGTGGTGTAAACAAATCTTTCACTCCTTAAACATGATCTTAAGTATGGCTCATTTTCTCTATCCCTATCCATCAACTAGAGTAACCTTGTGAAATATGTGACAAGAGTTTTTTTTTTTTTTTTTTTTTTTTTCTTTTAAAGGACATCCAGCCACAGATGCCAGGTAGAATAAAAATAAAATTGTTTCCTAAATAGGGGTCCTCTTTGAAAATGATGGTGCATTAAATTCTGAGAGTAGAAACATAGTAGACTATGTTTATAACATAGTCATCTAGCATTTAGCATTCAAATCAGCATTGAATAAATGATGTTGGGGGGCATAATTTTGAAATGTTATTAGTTATCATGTGAGAGAAAAATCAGTTAAACATCGGATTCTGGCACACACAAACATAGCTTCTTCTACCACTGTTTATTGCATACTCTCATCACTTTTAAAGGACAGCACATCCAAGAATATTCTTTTACTTCTTTTCCATTTGTTAAGCATACTTAGAAACTTGAGTTTTTACCACAATTTCTTCCAACTCTGTTCCGTTTACTGAGTTCTCTAAAATTAAAGGCTCAACATTCCTTCCTGCCAGCTCTACTCTTTCTAACAATAGCATCCCCTAACCCATCTTTATATTAGTTACCATAGATAACATTTATAAAAGAGAGAAATTAAGATGAGGTAGAGAGAACTTAGAAGTAAAAGTTCTTGTCTTCTGCTTAACTCTGTGTAGTGAGTGCATTGGCCTTGTTCTTTGTCCTTCTTATCTATCTCTTGATCAGTCTACATCTCTATACAGAATAGTTCTTTCATACATTTCTGCAAAGTTAGTGCTGAGTAAAAGGCACACTGCATTTATCCCAGCATTCATTTATCCAATACGTAAACTCAACAAGTGAGAAAGACACACACACACACACACACAGAGGTGGCACTACCTACACCCACAAAATTACTGGGGGAGGATTTACCTCTAAAGAGACACCCCCTTCCACACACACACCTGCTTGGAGGAAGCGCCCTTTAAGGAGCATGATGTGCGCGCGCGTGTGTGCCCTTCCCAAGCCCTCTGGATGATGATGCTAGAGGAAAGGTTTTGCATTGCAAAGACGGATTTATTTATTTAATTTTAATGTTGTGCAGGTAGTTAATAACCAAAAGCATTGGGGGATGCAAAGTAGAAAGGCTGCAGCACGGGCAGCCTGCTGGGGGCTGACCTGATTCCCTAGAATCTTCGCTGTCTTCCTCTCTCCTCCCGACGCCCTCCCTTCTCTCTTCTCCTTTCCATTGCCCCCACCCCCCCTCCGCCCCACGGTCCCCCCTCCCCACCCCGCCTCCCCGTCCCTTCCACAGATATGCAGCTCCCGAAAACAAAGAGCGCGGGCTTTCCAGCCGCCAGCGCTTAAGCCCAGCACCCAGCAAGCAGCATCTCGTTCCGGGGACCAGGGCTGCGCATCCCCTCCCCAACCTCCCCCGCCTCCCGCGCTCGCTCGCTCCCTCCCCGCTCGCTTCCTCCCCCACCTTCGCAGCGCTGGGAGGAAGGCGGCCGGGGCTCAAGATGGCTTTAGCCGGGCTCTGCGCCCTGCTCGCCTGCTGCTGGGGGCCGGCGGCGGTGCTGGCCACAGCCGCTGGCGACGTGGACCCATCCAAGGAGCTGGAGTGCAAGCTCAAAAGCATCACGGTGTCGGCGCTGCCCTTCCTGCGCGAGAACGACCTGAGCATCATGCACAGCCCCTCGGCCTCCGAGCCCAAGCTCCTCTTCTCTGTGCGCAACGACTTCCCGGGAGAAATGGTTGTGGTGGATGACCTGGAGAACACCGAGCTGCCCTACTTCGTGCTGGGTAAGTCTCGGGGGAGGTCGAGACGGCCGGAGGTGCTAGCCCGGCACCCCCCACCCCCCACTCCAGCTCGATCTCCACACCCACTCGCCGGCGACCTCCCCTCCCCCACCCCTGCCTCCTTGGATCCGCCCCAATCCCACACCGCTCTCCACACCCACTTGCAGGCTAGAGCGCAGGTGCACCCGACTTCTGCCCCTGTCCACTGGGCCCACAGCCTCTGCTCAGCTGCCCTGCCTCAGAGGAACAGGTTGCATGGGTCTCTGAAATATTTCCTGGCCTGACCTGCCAGCCTTGTTTCCGGGGCACACTGGCAGAGTACTTCTTGTCTGCTACCAGCTCAGCTCCCATAAGTCCTTTCCCCACTCCCTGCTCAGATATTTGCTTTCCAACCCCTGGACATCCACACCCTCCCTCTGCATTTCCCGAGGGAATTAAAAATCACACCCAGTTATCACCTTGACAGGAATGTGCCAGTCACATTGCTCTGGCTGGATTTCTCCTTCACTCTTGAGACCTCTTTACCTGTCCCCAGGTTAGTGACACTCTTTGGCCTTCCTTCAGAACACTCAAGTTTCCTTTACCCCTGGTGTCCATCCTGGAGAGCCTTACCTCCATCCCCACATGCAACAACTTCCTCCACATCTTCATGCCACATCACAGTTTCTGGGACAAAGACACCACCAAGGTGTAGTCTATTAATAATGGGCTCTTCTTTGTTCCCAAGACTTCCTTAGATAGACACAGGGATTCCTGCACACAGAATTACTTCCCAGGACAAGAGGTCCCCCCACCTCTTCCTATTTTAATTTTCTTAGGCCACAAAGCTCCTTTGGATCCTAGAACCCCTATATCACTTGTAATCACCCCTCTTTTTCACTAGCAAGCTACGAAAATACTGTGGGCCTGTCCAGTCCAGCATCATGCAAAGCCCCGCAGAGCCATGGGACTTTCTTAACCAGAATTTCCCTCACTTCTCCATGTGCAGATATCTCTCTGCCCCTGCTGTGCACACCCACCATACAATCCATTTCTTCAGTGATGCTTGAATCATTCTTATTTTACACAGGAGAGAAATCAAGAGAGTTAAGTCTTTAGATTGAAGAAAAACATTGCACATGTCCAAGAGGCTCATCCATTTACTTGGTCTCCTACCAAATAGAGTTCACTTTGCAGAAACATGGCTTCCTGGTGGCCACTTGTAGGTTAGAGCCACAAGTGGAATACTATCGAACAACTCTTTTTTCTCTTTCTTCACATGAGATGGCTTCACAGTGAAAACACTAAGAAGTGGGTGAGTAAAGTCCCACTCTCTAAGCCCTATGGAAAAGCAATTTTAGAAAATTCCTGGCCCTTTGAAAAGTTGGCTTATACTTCCTGGAGTGTACAACAGTCAACCCCATTAAGCCCAACCTACACTTTTGATACAATTCTTTATTTTTATACTTAAAAATGTACCAATCACATAATAAAACAGGGGGCAGGCTGGGCATGGGGACATTGTGGATATGCTGCTCATGAAAATGTACAATTGTTGGGTTATTCGTGGATTTTATGTCAGTCACGCTGATGTGCATGTACAATCTGTTCACCACAGTGACTAAGAATGAGAATAGGGAATTATGTGTTTCTAAAGAGCCTGTTTTAGGCTCTCCATGCAGTGTTTACTGTGCATGAAGTGGGACATGTGTGGTGTATAAATAAAGGTTGATTGTACCAGCAGATTTTCAAAATTCCATTTCTTTTTTTGCAGTATCCCAAAACCAGGGCCTAAAGCTGTGATGTACCCACTAGGATGCCCTGTGCACAGCGAAGACCCAGATGTTAAAAAATGGGTTTTCAGCACCTCTGTGTAAAGCTGCCCACTGCAGCACCCTGCTGGAGTTGCTATGGTAACCTCCTGCAACTTGGCATTTACACAGGAACAGAAATACTCTTTTACTGTAGGGCCAGATGCATTTGTTAAATGCATTATTTGTCCCCTGCCCTTCCTATCAATGGGATATGTTCTAAACAAGAAATATACTGGTTTTTCTCACTTCTGGCCCAGTATTTCCTTGGGAATAGGAGTGAATCCCAGCTTGAGTGGTAGAGTGGAGCTGGGCAGAAAGGAACAAGAGTTCAAGTTCTTTGAGGGTAGACCTAGGTCTAGTTGCTTTTGAAGTTAAATTGTGTGGCCTGGATTCCATCACTCATGGTCGGTAGTAAGGACTGTAGTTAGTTTGATTTAGCGCTTTTTCTGCTTTTATCTCTAAAACATAGTTTGCTTAATCCATCCCCTGGAAGCATCCCCTGAATGCTTAATCATTCAGTCCCGGGATTTATTGAGCATTCACTTGTGCAGCACTCTTAGGAATTACTGGGACACACGAGTTAAAAGAACAAATGGTTCCTGCCCTCAGGCACTCTCCAGTCAGTGGAAACAGACTGAGGTGTCTTTAAGGGTGGTAAGCACAAATACCTGCTTGTGTGGTATGGGGGTTAAGGTGGAGGGAGTACTTCATGGTAAGCGCAGACTCCATTGACTAAGGAGGTTGACCAAAATCAGATCCTTTGGCTTCCTTTGGTGTCCACCAGTAAATCCTCCTACTTCAATGAGACCAGTAAGAGTCTTCTGATTGCTGTCAACCGCTCCAGCCTCTGATCCCTGCACACAAGCTGTGTCTTCTCAGGTCTTTTGGTGGACCTTGAGAATATACTGCCTCCACCTGGATGCTCTCTCCTCCTTCTCCACTTGGCAGTTATTCGTGCTTTCTGATAAGCCCTGCACACATGTCTCCTTGCTATAAAGCCTTCTCTAACCTCTCTAGGCAGTCTTTTTTTTTTTTTAAAGATTTATTTATTTATGCATATAAGAACTGGGGTACAGGCCAGAAGTGTGGGGTGGTGGTGAGAGGATTCACCAGAGACAGAGTGAAAAACAGTACAGGCAGAGTGACTGAAATACACTGCTGAGGGGAGCAGCTGGCGAGTCAGGAGAGGTCTGCTGCACCATGTGGGTAGCTTCCTGGCTGGGGATCAACCTAGTGCTGCAGTGGCTGTGAATAGCTTCATAGGTTGTGTCTTAACCCCTTGCGCCACCAGGGAAGCCCTGCAGGCAATCCTAGTCCATCCCCTTCTCTGCTGCTTGCACAGCATTAAAACAAATGTTGGATTAAAAACAAAACCTAAGGAATGAAATTAATGGTAGATTGGATTTGGTTTGATAGAGGAAAGGTGAACCTATTTGAGGTCATGGAAGAAAGATGAACAAAGGATGGTGGTGGAGTATTTGGGGGAATGGTGCGTGTAGGGCACTGTATGTGGATCAGCCTTGTGGTTTGAGAGCACAGAGGACCTTGCCTGGCTTTGTAGAGTGAGACATAACTCAATGAAAAAAAATTGCAGATGGCGGAGGGTTGACTTGACCTAGAAAGCCATGAGACCTGACTCACAGAGGCTAACTGACCATCGGCGTTGTCCAGTTTGCTTGTAGAATAATCACAGGAGGTGGTGAGGGGGAGACTATATGCCCTGTGTATATGAGGTAGGGTTTGCAAATTGTGGTGCATAGGCCTTTGTTGGGCACAACCTAGGTTAATCTGAAATAGCACCCCCTTTTGTTCGTAGAGGGAAGAGAGGAAGAACAGGAGCCACTAAAGGAAAAGGAAGGCCATGCTGTATTGTAGGCAGTGCTTGTGATGACCACGGAAACTTGCACAGAGGCTTTGTTTTGGCTGACCACATGATGAGTAGTTTCCCCATGCCCAAATATGAAAACTTTGAATAGCCTTTAACTGGATTTCATCAAGTGTACTGCCCAGGTGGTCTTAGCAACGCACCAGGCCTCAGGGATATGTCCTTGGGTAGCTTCTGGGATCCAGAAAATTGAACAAAATGTCCTTGTGGGAGGGAGTTGGTGAGACTCCTCTGATTGTCCTGTTCTAGCTCCCAGGTCAATAGGTGGTCATTTCTTTTGATTGTCTTCCCCGGTGAACACATGTGACTTTCAGTATGTTTTTTTGGGCAACACATAGCTTAAAAATATTTTGAATTTGAGTGTTTTTAATTCAGGCATGCCTATCTCAAGATTGTCAGACTTCCCACAATTCCTGATTTTCCTATGGCTCATGCTCCTCTTCATGGTACTTATCTGGCAACTCTAAGCCAAGTAATCTAAACCCTAGCTTTCAGAAATATAAAACTCTCTGCAATATCACAAAACAAGGGTAAGTTTTAATTTAAGATGTTTAGAAACATAAGCCACTCAGGAGAATATGAACAATTTGCCAAATTAGTTAATTAAAATTTCATATCACAATTAAACTTTCATCTTTTAAGACAGTAGACATTCCTGTTCTGAAGGCATGTTTGATTTTTGAGACAACTGGTCAACCTGAAGTGTGGCTACTACACTGAATCTGGTTTTCTGTGCTGTGAACAGAACATGTTGATCACCGTCATTAGTATTTGAAAGTGATGTTCCTCTGTTTCCGACCTGACTATTGAACTTGTGCATGGATAAAACTTAGTGAAGAAAGCTGTTTCTCTTGTGCCTTGGCGTTTAGCTTGAGCTGTCATGGAATTTGATTGAAGAAGGTACTCCTGAAGATAAATCAATCAGACTGCAGAGATGTGCTGAGTTCCCATAGGCAAGATGCTGTTTAAAGTGTTGGAGCAGTTCAATGTGCTGGTTAAGAGAACAGGCTTTAAAGACAGATCTGGTGTGGACTTCTGGCTTTTCACTTATCCAATGGTGGAGAAAAGGATCAGAATGGTTAAGTCCTTCCTCAGGGTCACATAGGTAACAATTGATGGAATCATAACTGGTTCTCTGGTCAATAAACCATTTAAGCCTTTCTCCGAGTGACTATTTTATATGCCTTAAATTTTTCAATATCTATTCCTTTTTCATGAGTGGAGAAAAAGGTTAGAATACAGAAAGCACATTTACCTGATTTGTATAGAAGAGTCCTTTGTGGCTACTGTTCCCACTCTGTCTCTGGTGAATCCTCTCACCCCCC